TAAATGAGTTGTTCCAGGACCCCCTACCCACCCAGTCCCTACTCTTTTCAGTAGTATATTTTCACAATTACAGGATCTAACTTTAAATATCTATTCATTTATCAGTGCAAATCACACTTATGCTTAATGCTATGCTTCAGACAGACCCCAGGTGTACATGGCTTCATGTATGTGCCATAAAATATCACTAGCAAATGTGTCACACACCCTGTCAACCACAGACCCCCTCCCAGGGATTTTACACTTGATCTTCTGGGTGTGCATGACCTCTCCTGTCAACAGTTTGTCAGCTTTACTTTCTGTAGTTTACATTTAAAAAGCTAGAGCATTCCATTGGGTTTTTTTCTTAACTATAAATAGGAAACAAACATAAAATTGTATTTGATGTTATCCACAACCTTGCTACTCAAAGTAGGATCTTTGGATTAACACTGGCGTCCTCTGGGGACTTGTTAGAAATGCAGAGTCTCAGCAACCTTCCCCTACACACACACACACACACACACACACACACACACACACACACACACACACACACACACACACACACGTAATCAAAATCTGCATTTAAAAAAAATTGCATTTTAGTGATTGATGTGCACATTCGAGTTTGGGAAGTACTGCTCTAAAAAAACAGGTTTCAAACTATATTGAGTATTATGTAGACTATAATATAAATACAAATATATAGAATATATTTCCATTTTGAATATACTTTTTCAAAGTACTCATGCCTTTCACATCCCAGAGATTCCAGAAGAGCACGGGTGTTTTCCGACCTTGTTGAGAGCAGAGGTTTTGAATGAATACCTTGGAATAGTCTAGGCCTATGTATCTCTCTGCTGGCTCAGTGTGCCAGCTTCCAGTATGTTAGGTATTCTTTTGGCTGAAGGTAATACCTACTTTTAAGAGCAGCTTAAGCAATAAAGACATTTATTATCTCATGTCTTAAGAAGTCTGTAGGTAGGCGGTCCCAAGATTAATTCAGCAGTTGAGCCACATCATCCATGACCTGGCTCTGGCCATCTTTCTGAGCGGCCATCTTCAGTGTATCTTTTTGGCCTCAAGCTTGTACCTCATAGTCTCACTTTGGCTGCCACAGCTTCAGGCATCACAACCTTATATGGCAGGAAGGAGGGAACGGGCGAAGAAGGGATTTCTCCCATCCCTGGGTGCGCAGTGGTTAAGAGCTCAGGCTACTAATCAAAAGGTCGGCAGTTTGAATCTACCAGCTGCTACTTGGAAACCCTATGGGGCAATTCTACTCTGTCCTATAGGGTCGCTATGAGTCGAAATGGACCCTATGGCAACGATTTTTTTTTTTTTTTTGGTATCTTCGGGAGGGGAATTTTCCAAACACTGCTATCTCCCCAATTCATTGGCCAGAACTGGGTCACAAGCACACTACTGGACCAATCACTGACGAAAGGAATGGCATTGCCGGTGATTGGCTTGGACCAATCAGGATTCATGCCTGGAGCTGGACTCGGCCTCCTGAACACAACCCGGCTTCTGCAGCAGGGAAGGAAGGGACGTGGTGGTGGGACTGGCTGTTAACATACCCATCCAACTCCTCCGAGCCTCAGTTTCCTCATCTGACAAATGGAGATGATAATAGGTACTTTGGGTCATGGAGGCTTAAATAAGCCCTCTTCTAAATTCTTTAGTTCTACTAACCATCTTAATCCTCCCTACAATCCGATAAAACAGGACCCTTATCCTCGTTACTAAAGCTACCAGCCTAAACGCAGAGCTGTGATGACACGCATGCGCCAACAAGCTATCCCGTCTGGGGACTGCCTGTGACGCCTGGAATGGGGGCGGAGCCGTGCCGAGGGAGCGTGAGGGCAGGGAGGACTACAACTCCCAATAGGCTCCGCGCCGCCGATAGACTACAATAACCAGCATGCTTTGGGCAGTGCCTCTTAACGTCTTCCTCCTGCAAAGCACTCTGCGTACTGAAACAAGCTAGGATTCACTGCATAGGCATTCTCTGTCAATTTTGCTTGTAAGCTATCTCCTACAAGAACCAAGGATTCTCCCCGAGTAGACATTTATGATTATCGTGGATAAGAGGCTTGTGTTTTAATTCTCACTTCACCTGTTAGCTCTGAGTCTCAGTTTTCTAATCTCTAAAATGGGGATATTCCTAGGAGTTGCCGCATCGAGTTATTGTGAGGAATAAAAGGTGGATAGTATAATGGCTTGGTAAATGTCAACTCTTCTAGTGGCCCCCTCCCCCTCCGTGTGCGAAAGTGTTTTTATCAGAGCATTTTATTTCAACATCAACCCTATGAGGTCGATACCATTATCCCCCATTTCAGATGGTAAAACAGTCCAGGAGGGGTTCAAGTCTCTTGCCTAATGTCACACAGCAAAGTGAGTGGTGAAGGACTCTAACTCAGGCAATTTCACTCCAGAGGTGAGTCCACCTTAGGAGCCCAATGCTTCCGTTCCCTGCTGAAACTCTGGCGTCACTCAAAGTCTAGGGCAAATATTTTCTGTCCTCCTCAACGCAGGCTTGACTCACGTGATAACATGGATGACCCTCAAGTTGCATCGCGCGCGGCTAGTGTGGGAAGGAGACGCACCTGGCGCTCTGAGTCAATTATAGCTGAATTTGACCTGGTTGGAGAAATCAGGTAGGCTTCCCTCAGGGAGTGATGCTGGATCTGAGAACGGAAAAGTGGGAATAGCAGAGGCAAAGAACCCTGAGAAAGGGGAAGACATGTTGTGTTCCATACACCTCTAGAAGGGCTAGTGTAGCTGGAGAGGTGCAGTGCCAGAACTAGGGTGAGGTGAGCGAGGAGCCTAGGGTGCAATTTTTGAGGCATTCACTCTTGGGGTCGTGCAAATGCAGGGTCAAGACTTGAGAGGGGGAGGCTTCTTAAATGTGGCCCCTCACATCTTCACAGTCGCCTCATATGCATGGAAAGCTGGACAATGAATAAGCAAGACCGAAGAATTGATGCCTTTGAGTTATGGTGCTGGTGAAGAATATTGAATATACCATGGACTGCCAGAAGAATGAACAAATCTGTCTTGGAGGAAATACAGCCAGAATGCTCCTTAGTAGCAAGGATGGTGAGACTACATCTCACATACTTTGGACATGTTATCAAGTGGGATCAGTCCCTGGAGAAGGACATCATGCTTGGTAAAGTAGAGGGTCATAAAAAAGAGGAAGACCCTCAACGAGATGGATTGACACAGTGGCTGCAACAGTGGGCTCAAGCATAACAATTGTGAGGATGGTGCAGGACCAGGCAGTGTTTCGTTCTGTTGTACACAGGGTCGCTATGAGTCAGAACTGATTCGATGGCACCTAACAACAACAAGGTCTTCACTGACCCAACCCTAGTCCCCTAGCCCTTGAGGGTAGGGTGGCCATCCATCCTCATTTTCCTGTGAGAATCCAGGTTTCTGCTTCTGCCTATGAGATTATAATAGGCCCCCTTTCATTCTAATGAGTGTCTTGGATGAATGATAATTTTATGGTCACTCAACTTGTAGTGTCTATTTTAACCAGAGGGAATGGGGAGCCACTGAAAGCTTTAGCAGGACTCTGCTGCCATATGGAGAATGGACCGTGGAGGCCTTGTCTCCAAGTGGGAGACAAGGGCAGCCTGCCTTGGGTGGGAGAAATGGATAGAGTAGACAGATGCTTAGGAAGCATTGCTTTCAGGACAAGGTGATGAATTGGGTGAGGTTCTTCTGGCTTGCTTGCTCCCCTGTAGAGTCCCAGTCCTTCCGCCAGTATTTAGCTTGTGACCTTTAGCTACTCCCTTCACCTCTCAGCCTGTTTGCACGTCCATATTTGGGCTTCTGAAGAAGGAATAGCCTCTGGGATTTAACATTTGTTTGCAAATACAGGTCCCCAGGGCTTTGCACAAGTGGTCTCCTCTACCTCCTTATCATTCAAATCTCATTTGAAATGTGACTTCTTCAAGAAGCCCTCCCTGACCACCCCCTGCTCCCCCTCCCTGGTTTGTCATAGTTATGACGAGCAGAAATGTTCTGTTTACTTGCTCTCTGTCTCCTCCGACTAGAACGTAATCCCCTTTAGAGCAGAGTGACCTGCTTCTTCAGGAATGTATATCCATCCCCAATGTCTAGCAAGGCGACTGCCACATAGTAGGTGCTTACTAATATTGTTTGAATGGATGGATGGCTAACTGAATGCTTTCCCTGCATTCAGTTAGCCATTTAGCTGCTTCTCTACAAGCCTCCTCCAGCAAGGAAGCATCAACCCTGGCAGCAAATCTGGCCTGGGTTCAAATTCTGACTCAGCCACTTAACAGCTGAATAGATAAATCGCTTAACCTCTCTCAGCTTCATTCTTCACATCAATCCCGACCTGGTATAGATGTAAGGATCAAAGAATTAGGAAAATGTTCGGAGATAAATGGCACTGACTTTTGTCTTAAGGCTTTCTGTTCACAACCGCGCCCTCCCAAGTCTGATCGCCCTTGCCCTTCTCACCAAGTACTTCAATACTCCCTTGCACCCGAGCCTGGAGGGATTTGCAGGTTCCCAGGCCCTAGCGCAGGCAAATATCTCCTCTCTCCAATGCAAAGGGAAAAAAACCTTCCCGGCAACGGGTCGCGCGGGTCCTAGGAGCGGGCGTCAGAGGCGGGGTCTGCGCGTGCGCGCAAGCCTGCGCATAAGGGCCAGGGGACGGGTGCGGGGGGGGGGTGAAGAAGGGGCCGGCCTTCCAGCGACAGCGACGCAAGATGGCAGCCACCACGGGCTCGGGTGAGCTGGGGCGCCGGGCCCGGCCGGCCGAGGGAGCGCGGGGTCGGGCCGGGACCGAGGACCCGCGAAGGCCCTAGCAGCGGGCCCAGGCTCTCTGCGCTGCCTCGGTCCGCCGGGTTCCGCGGCGGCGGCCGGGGGGGCCTGATGGGGAGGAGGAGCAGGCGGTGGCCGGAAGCACGGGCGGGGGCCTGAGGGGCCTGTGGGCGGCGCGGCCAGGCCCAGAGGCTCCCCCGAGCGGCATGAGGGGATCACTGAGAGGACTGCCCGGGCCCTGCAGCGCTGCTGAGAGCTGGAGTGGACGACGGGCGAGCCCTGAGGGCACTGCTGAGGAGGCCGAGACCGGCGGCCTTTTGGGAGATCGAGGTGTTCCCTAGGGGATGAGGAGGCGCCCCACGGCGGACGGAAGTCCCCTACTGGGTGCTGGAGGTCCCGGTGAGGGGGGAGCCTTGGGATGTCTGTTTGGGGAGGACATCACAGAAGCCCCTCAGTGATGGATGGGAGGAGAGAACGGGTCCTGAGGGGCTGACTGAGGAATCCCTTATTGGTTAAAGGGACGGCTCCAGCGTCAGCTTTGGGCATAGGATTAACAGAGGAAATCTCCGTGTTGATTAGAAGAGGAAACCTTGGGTTGGCCCCTTTGGGGAGGGATTAAGGGCATCGCCACAGGATGAGCGAGAGGGGGAAACGGAGTCAGATTCCAGAGGGATCTGGTCGAGGCGACTGATGTGAAATGGCCCTAACATTTCCAGACACCTATTTGAGGAGACAGATGGGTTCCTCCAAGTATGAATTTAGGAGGTAAGCTCTGAGTTGGGGCAGTTAGAAGCCTCCAACATTGGGTCAGGGAGAACAGGTGAATTGGGAGCTCTGGGGTGCCTGTTTGGGGACTTGTCAACTGAGGGGAGCCTTTGCAACCGATGAGAGTGGGAAAAGGTCAGGTTCCAGACATGTTTCCTTTAGAGGAGAAAAATCTTCTCTTCTTCCTGTTTGGGTGAGGAGAATGTACCCTAGAAGTGTCTTTTGTGGAGACTGTACGTCACTTCTTTCCACCCCTTTGGATATTGGGAACAAATATGTGAGTTCAGCTTGAAAGTTCCCCCGTTGGCTGGAGGTGGGAGTGGGGAGAGGAACAAATGAAATAGGAGTTCTGGGGTGGCTGTTTGGGGAAGAGAGGCTGAGCAAACCCCACTTCTCCTGGATGGGCAGGAGGGAAATAAGGGGCTACGCTTCGCCAGTGGAACAAAATTCTTTCAGTCCCTAGATAGGTCAAAGGAAGCAGCACTTATTTTGAGACTCAGCTCCTTGCTGTACTCCCCTAAGACAGACCAGAGGATCAGACCTTGAAAGGTCTGTTTCAGTGTTAACCTGGGGTAAGGATTGGCTAGGGAAGATTCCCTAGAGGCAAGACAGTCAAATTGTGGAAGTGCAGGCTTTGGGGGAGACTGAGTGTCTCCCTTAGGGTGAGGAGGCTGCATCCTGAGGTGCCTGGTGGTGTTGTCCAAGGAGGTTCTCCCCGGGGGGGTGAGATTGGAAGGCCCCTGATGGAGAGGGCAGAGAGGGCCACAGGAGGGAAAGGAGTTAGAGGCCTGCAGCGTGGGTACCGAAATCCTCAGGTTATTTAAGGCAGTAGCAGCAGTAGTGTTGGGAACGGGTCGGTGACCTAAGTGGAACAGGGTTGGGGAGTCCCGTCTTTCCATGATGTTGCTCTTCTCTCAAGCTCCTCTAGTATCCCAGGAAGCCATCCTTCTCTGATTGTTAGGGTGGAGAATAGAAGGAATTGGATGGAGGGGATCTAACTGAAGTGACCCACCACAAGCTGCCCTTGACACTTAAAGCGACGGGGTCTTTCTGGAGGATAGAGGACGCTGCACATCCTTTCCTAGATTTTGGTTTCATTTTGAACAGTGCTGAGTCAATTCGTTAATCAAGACACTGCGACAGACACTCTCAGGAGAGGGAGGCTGGGTCAGGTTAGACAGCTGTGGGAAACTTCTCATCAGAATAATGCCCCTGCCAGGTTGCTATGAACTGGGGGTACGGTGGTGCCTGTGGCAGCCAGCGTTATGGTAGTATTGCAACCCAGCCCTGTTTGCAATCACTCTGGAGTTTGGCTTCCTACAATCCGGTTTAACAGCTACTTAATTCTAACTTCTTGAGGCCCTGCCAATTGAAGAGTGCTTCATGAATGCTGTGGCAGTCAGATGAAACATTGTCAGCCACTGTCTAGTGGAATATAAGAGTACTTGGTATGGTTTCGATAACATAGAACAGGCTTGGAGATGCCCTAAAATGGGCTTCCCATAACTCCTTTGTCTGTTCATTCAACAGATATTTACTGAGGGCTTGTTAGGTCCCATTGTGAGTAGCGAACAACATGGGCATAGTCCCTGTCCTTGAGGAGCTTCTGTTCTAGTGGGGAAGAAGGCCTTAGAAGAGTAAATAAGTAAGATGCTTCAGATAGCAGTAAGCACTATGAAGGAAGTTGTGTCATGTGATAGAGGGTGTCTAGAGAGGTAGTCAGGGAAGGCTTTGAGAACATGGCATTTGAACTGAGACAGTGATTGAAGGAGCCAGCCCTACAGTGTGTGTCATAAGCAGTGGAGGGGGAACAGTGAGTGCAAAGGCCCTGTGGTGAGAACGAGCTTGACATGTTGAAAGACCAGACTAAAAAGCTATAGCGTGCAAGGGAGGCTTGTAAAGGAGGTGAGTACCTGGTATGAAGTAGACATTCGGTAAATATTTGTCAAATGAATGAATGAGAGTCTTAAAGAGCAGAGGAGTGACAGGATCTGGATCTGTGCCCCTGAGAGTGGAAGCAGAGAGAGTGGAAGCAGACAGACTTAAGTAAAATGAGTATAGAGACTGCTCTACTTTCTAACCCTCTGTTTTCTTTCAGGTGTGGCTGGGGCCCTGAGACCTTCTTCCTTAGTCAGGTTTAGAGTGAGACTCTTGCTTAATCTGTGCTCCTGCTTGTCAGGAAACAGCTGTGAAGCCTATGAGTTCCTGTAAGGGCTGAACTTGGTTTTTTATGGTCACTGCTTTCAGCACTTGGCTGCAACACCTTCCCCCACCTCCTGTGGTTCTACAGTGTATGATTTCTGCATAGATCCTAGAGGGTGGAACTGTGAAAAGCCCACTAGAATCCCTCAGGGTGCCCGTGCTGTCACAGGTGACTTTCTTCTTCCTTGGCCAGGATTGCAGGACCCCAAAAAGTGACCCTTGGCTGCCAGGTCCTTTCTGTCACCCAGCATCCCTTGGGCTTCCCTGACAGTTTAACCAGAAACTGTGTGCCAGAAGGGTAAGCCCTGGTTGGGCATGATTTTAAATTTGCGTACATCAGAGTGGCCTCATACATACATTCAACTTATAGGAATTTAACTATATGGGAAGTAGAGATTAAATAGTCTTCCATTCCATTTCGAGGTGCTCCCCAGAGACAGCCCAAGATGGGAGGTGAGAACCTGCAGTCCCTTAGCTGGTCGCAGTGCCCATGTGTCTCACAATGTGAGCGTCTTGCTGTGCCGATTGTACTTAAGTGCCTTTTTTCAAAACATGGTCTTTACATTCAAGAGAACTGCTTCAGCCAAAGCAATAGCAGTCTGCTCTAATGATGGAAGGAATCCCTGGGTGATGCAAATGGTTAAGCACTCAACTACTAGCCAAAAGATTGGAGGTTCACATCCACCCAGAGGCACCTCAGAAGACAGGCCTAGCCATCTTCTTCTGAAAGGTCACTGCCTTGAAAGCCCTATGAAGCAGTTCTACCCTGCACACGTGGGGTCGCCACTCCACTGCAACTAACAACTAATGATGGAGCGGAGATTGACCTTGTGTGACTAGTACAACCTAGTGCTCCTCTGAAGAGTTGCCAAGGTGAATTTTCCCCTTCCCGTTAGCTTTAAAACCACCCTCTTCCCACCACCACATTCTCTCTCTCTCTTTCCCTCTTCTACTCCCCTCCTCCTCCTCTCCTCTCTCTCCCCCTCCTCTCTCTCCCTGTTTTCTTCCCCTTCTGTTTTCCTCCCCTCTCCCCTCCCCCCCTCCCCCGTCCTCCTTCCCCACTCCCTTTCTCCTTTCCCTCTCCCTCCCTCTCTTCCACCTGAATTTTAGCTCTACAATTTTGGTAAAAAGTGGAATCCAAAATGTAAAGTCAGAAATTCTGTTTAATTCTGAAAGTCTGCAGTGAAGTGCAGAGCAGCACATTTGGTGAAGCAAATATTTAGTACTAGTTTATGTATAATGCTTTAGTCAGGTACTTTGACTTACCTGTATATAATCTCATCTAACTCTCCACAACCTAGTGCGCTAACCAAGCCAAGTATTGTCACCACAGTGTGACTGAGGGAAGAGGCAGAAGCTGAGAGAGATTGGCGGCTGGCTGAGGAGTGGCGACACTCCGAGGTTTTGACTCCAGTTCCCTCCCCAGCCTGCTACAGTACCTTAGGAAGGAAAGAGAAAAGGCATGCAGTGCAGCATATGCTCTCCTTAGGTCTCGGAGTGTTTAATTTGGGTGAGGAAAAAGACTTTAAAGAGAAGCACCTGCCACCCGTTGCGGGAACCCCTTTTATATTCTCTGACCACTGTTTATCCCTTTCTGGATAACATACAGTCCAACAAGGATGAGGGCCATTTTATAAGGAAAACCCTGCTTATACCAAATAACTCACACCCATTGGACTTGGGGCCCCCGCATGTCATGTCAGAGTAGGTCCTCGTCTTAGTTACCTAGTGCTGCTGTAACAGAAATATCACAAGTGGGTGGCTTTAACAAACCGAAATTTATTTTCTCACAGTTTAGGAGGCTAGAAGTCCAAATTCACAGCGCCAACTCTAGGGGAAGGCTTTCTTTCTCTGTATACTTCCGAGGAAGGTTCTTGTCTCTTTTGAGCTTTTGCTCCTGGGTGATCTTCATGGCTTGCCATCTCTCTAATCCCATCTCTGCTACTTTTGCTTGCTTGTTTAATCTCTTTTATATCTCAAAAGAGATTGATTTAAGACACAGTCTATACCAATCCTGTCTCACTAACATGAAAAGACAACCCATTTCCGAATGAGATAATAACCACAGGCATAGAGGTTAGGATTTACAACACATATTTTGGGGGGACATAGGTCAATCCATAACAGTCGTCATCTTCCTTTACATGTGAACTATTCAGACTTCTTTTTAAGCTGCAGTTACGAGGACTTACATACTGTCTGCTAGACATATTAAATACACCGTCTCACTCTTCACAGCAATACATATTTATTGTGAAGGTGAGGAAGCTGAGGCTCAGAGTCAGTGAGTTGCAGAGCTAGGGTGTGGAACCGGGACAGTTTTGCTCCAGGATGTGTGCTCTCTGCCATTTTATCGTTCTTCCAGCCCACATTGCCTGTTCTCCAGGCTGCGCATCTCAAGTTCCTTCAACCCTTGGCATGTATGTCAATAC